GTTAATTCACTTCGCTTTTTTTGTGAAATCTGTTCGTTTTGTATGTCTCAGGTTCTCGGTTGCTTTTTTTTTGTGCGTACAATTGTTCATCACTGGGCGTGGCCTAACAGAAAGGGAACGTTTGTTATCAGTTTTCTTTTTTTTCCTCGTAAAATAAACTTCTTAAATAGATCGAATTTGTTTATTATTTTTTACTTAATAAGTTTTACGTATTATTTGAAAAAGTGGGAATATTTTTCCACGTGGAAACTGAATGTAAACTAAACGTTTTTACACGTGAACGTGAAGTATTTTCACTGAATAATTAGTATATTATTTAATTATTTATTATTTATTTTGTTCACTTCTAGTGAATCCCTTTAACTATAATTTTTCTTTATTCTTTACTATTTCTACTTTAAAATTATGGGCTATTTGAAAATAAATAATACATATGGAATACACAAAAATTCTGTGAAATACGTGCGTCATACGTGAAATTTACGCTTATAGTAGACGTTTATTATGTTATGTTGAAACGTGCTAAGTGCATTGCATATATCACATGTGGAATCCGTGAGAAAGCGCATAGGTGGCTTTTAAAGTTTTCCGAATCATTTTTCAATTTCAAAAAAACAGAATTTTCTTTTTTTCATAAAAACCTCTAAAATTTTGAAACAAGAGATTTTCTTACGTGATACGTACGAGAAAAAAATTGTTGTGATAGATAATCAGTAGAGAAATGAAGGTCGACGAAATATTATGAACGAGGGGATGAGTGAATCCAGGAAGCACAATGCTTCTCACAGACTAATAGAGACTAAAGAAATCGAGTAATTGAAAAAACATAGTGTAAGTTCAAGAGATTGCCAGAGAAAAGGTTTGTTGAAGTGTTCGCAACAAAATAAACGAACGTTTGGCTTGAATCTCATTTTGTTTTTTTTTTCTTTTTTACGACGGCAGTTTTATTTGTATTTTTACACATTTTCATTGTACTGCCCCTGTTGATACTTTTTTGTTAATCGGCCAGCGGTACTTTTCCATTATTCGATCAATGGTATTTTCCCATAACTTGGCCAGCGCTATTTCTATTAATCGGTGAGTGCTAATATTTTATTGTTACTGGGCCAGCGGTTCTTTTCTTCTGTTTGTCCATTGATATTTTATTATTTAAACGATTTTCTATTGCTTAGCCAAGGTTTTTCCATTATTTGGCCAAAAGTGTTTGTCTGTTATTCAGCCATTCTTCTATTGCTTCGCTAGTGGTGTTGTTTTTCTATTATTAGACCATCAGTACATTCGTACTTGTGCTGCGTAATAATTCTTTAATTCTTTCTCATTATTTCATACTTCTTTATCTAGTATTTGCAGTTTTTAGCTTGGCTAGCTGCACTGATTGTTGCAACTGCCTCGCTAGTGAGTCCTTTGAGGACTGAGACACAAGTAAGTTCCCTTTAACATTATTACTCGCCTGCATTATTACCTACACTTTTAATAAGAAATTGCTTCTGTTGACGAAACGAACCTGTGGTTCTTAGTCAAAGCAATGTGTCCATTCTTTCTTTTATTAATTTATTATTTATAATATTAATTATTATATTAACTTTTAATATTATTAGCCTATAATTTCTCAATTTGATTAAAGTAATTTTTTTAAAAATAATATTATTACCATCGAAATTGGCTTATGTTCATTGGTATCTCTCCTTCTCATCTTTTCATAGATTACTGCTCGTATATGCTTTATTCAATTGTTATCTTCTCAGGCTCTTTCGACTTACTCTTGTAGCCAGCGGAGCCAGCCTAACCAGAAATGGTGAGAGCTGTTAGAAGAAAGAAGGCTGTTTCGACGGTATTTCATAGCTTCTATAATTTTATAATCCTCAAATCTTTCATCCGTTTCATAAATAGAGTATATATAGAGTATGTTTATAGAAGTGGTCACAAATTTTTGCTATCGCATTTATATTTTCTGGTTTTTTTTTTTTTTTTTTTTAACTGATAAAATAGTTTATTGATAGGATTATTGTGCTTATGATTAAATTTCCTTCCCAATTTGGAATGGCTGAGAATCTTCTTACTTCCGTAAATGTATATATTACTTCCTCACCGATGGCTGAGGGCCATCCAGTCCAGCACGTACATGTGTCTTCACACGAAATTTTTCTTTTTAATAATAAATAAATCCTTATATCTTTGATATTATTCCTCGTTTAAGTTTGTGATAATAATAGTAATAGTAATAATAATAAATGTATTTACATAATAGATTGCAGTAAAGCGCGCTTATCTATCGTTCTCCGTTCAAACGTTATCGTTGTCAACACGCTATGCATCAATTTTATTATTATTGAATGGCAAAACTAATCGTAAACAGTAATTTTTTACTAATTTTTTTCGCGTTTACATGATATTCTACAAAATAAAATAAGTTAGATTTTTGCAGACCTGGTTTGGTGCCATTGATTTGTATGAATTATTTTAAAAAAGCACTCTATTTTTACTTTTTGCTTTTATTCATTTTTACGATGATAAAATTTTTTGTAAATTCTAGAAAAAATTTGTTATTTAAAATTATTAATAACGAAAAACCTGTTGCTTACCTTGTTGATCTTTTAACTGCTCTTATTTGTTTTTTATCATTTGGTCATTTTGAGGAAGAATAAATTGCTGATTTATTGACCATATCTTCTTTTTCATCCCTATGTTTTCTGCTTAACTAATGTTTTCTTAATGTTTTCTGTTTTCTGCTTTTATTGCCTAATAAAATGAAACCTCTTTTATTGAAGATGATAGAAAAGCATGCGAGATCCTCTTCAGTCATTCAGCACCGAGATGAGTCGAACTTTTGCCAGTAGCCACAGAAATCATAGGACATAGTTGTTGGCACTTTTGATAAGAATAAAGCAGTTATTTTCTTTTCAGTTTGCATTTTTTATTTTTTGTTTTTGAACTGAATTTTAATTTTGCTTGAATCTAATCGAGAAACATTCGTTCGATCTTGCTATATGGCTAAGAGACGTGCCAATGAGAGTGGAAGATATTAAGAAATTATCTTCCTTTGACCACTCATTTCCAAGGTACATTTTACGGATTCGCTGAGTGAATAAAATTTCACGTGATTGCATCCACCGTCTTTCAGGTCTTTCCCACTTGCATTACCAGTACCATGATAGATTGCTGCCTTCACTGGTTAGAGAATGTTCTTCGTCGTCCACCACAAGAATTTTCGCATATTTTGTTGCATGCTAAACTCTATAACTCATTGTTCTGGATGGCGTCAAAAGCGAGTTGGTTCAATCAAGACCTGGACCAATACAGTCAAAAAAGATTTTGAATATATAGAGACCAGCAATATATGGACTAAGACGATGAACAAGAGAATGGCTTCTAATAATAGTGATGGCATCGGAGCGACCAGCTTGGAAACCTCTTATTCCTTGTAGCTAGTGGAGACAGCCTAACCAGTAATGGTGACAAAAAGAATCGGAAAACAAAGTGAAAAAAAATTTGCTAGGAAAAGTACATCGGTCGTATTTGTAAAGTTCAGGGAAACACTACAATTCATTTAATAAAGTTACTTGCACTTTTACTTCTATTGCATCATATACTTTTTTATTTTACTTTTTAAAGTTTCTGTCGCGTGCATACTAAAATGCAGCTGTGAGCATTTTCCTTTTCCATTCTTTAATTTTTTAAATAAATTTCGAAAGAATTTTATTTCTAAGAAAGAAAAATTGGAACTTTCCACTGATTTTCTCGTTTTTTTTTTTTTTTTCAACACTTGATACGTGAATAAAAATATATTTGTGTTATTTGCATAGCCATCACCGCAGCCTCCGCCGCCGATTTCGCTACTACTACTGCTGTTACTACTGCTGCTGCCGTATTGAATTAGCGATTAGCGAATGCTCATTTCGATACCTACAGCAAAACTGAGAAATTTTGCGAGAAAATATTTATAGCTTGAGCTCGAGCTCGAGTTTCCTTTCTTCCATTCGTTTTTCATCCGCGAATTATTGATGTTTAACGGAATTTTAGGCGGAAAATTAGGAAAAAAAGTTTAATTTTTTGTTTACAAGAAAATTGAATTTCTACCGTAACGCTAACAAAAAGCAGAAAACACATGGAGAGTATTGAAGAAAATATGATGCGAAGAGAAAAATAGGAATTATCGGAATAGTTCGAGTCAAAGAAGGGTTTGATGTTAGAGAATAAGAGAAAAGAGGATTTTCCGCGAAAAACTTCATAATTTTTTTAAGTACCTTTTTTATATATTTATTTTTATTGATTTTATATTTCCTTTTTTTTGTATTCTTCATCGTTTTTTTCTCTTTTTCACTGCTTTTTCTGGTTTTTTCGATTTTTTCGCGCCATTTTTATTTTTGTAAAATATTTTATCCAGTTACCCTTGCAGCCATTGGAACCAACCTAACCAGTAATGGTGAGAGCTGCTAGAAGAAGAAATCTATTTAGTAAAAATTATAAATTTTTGTTTGAAATAACCTGTAATTTTCCTCTTTAATTTGATTTTTAATCATATTTTTTAATTCACTTTTTTGTTGCTTTAATTTAACTTAAAAAAATCAAAATTTTAATTAATTTAATTAACTTGCTTATCTTTTTTATTTTTGAACAATTTTAAAGTTTTGAAATATTATTTGGAAATTTTTCCCATTAATTTTATAATTTTGACCATTTAATGAAATCTTTTTCACTTTACTTTAAATAATTTAATAATTTCATTTTCAACTGTTTCAAATCTATTCTTCGCAAAATCATGTTGGAAATTCATAGTCGATAATTTTTTTAATTTATTTTCTACTTTTCTCTCTTATTTTTTTAATTTTTTAATTTTTTTAATTTTTAATAATTTTAATCTTTTCAATTATTGAAATTGTATTTTATAATGAAAATAAGAATTTTTCAGAAGTAGAGAAGTATTTAGTTCAAAAACTTTTTAAATATATCTTTTTTTTGAGATGACAACAAATAAATAAGATGAAAATTTGCAGAAACAGATGAGCACACCGGAGGATCCGGTAATTCATAGCCCTCCGTCGTCATTGCGCAACGGACCGGCAACCGCTACAACTCATACAACTACCACTTCTACAACTGGTTTTAACTCCACACAAAATATTACTCTTACTCGACAAGCTGCCAACACATTACAGATACCATCCGGTTATTTTTTTTGAGAGAAATTAACCTGGTCTATCAATTTTGATTCCTAACATATAACCTGACATGTTAATGCTTTTAAACATAATCTGAAAAGATGATTCAACTTTCTGTAGCTGAAATTTTTTAGGAGATACAAGATTTTTTGAAAAATTTTTTTCCACTATTTTTTATGCTATATTATTTATTGTTTTAGCGTTATCGAATTTTGTTGAGAAGAAACATTAAGAATTATGCGAATGACTGAAATAAATAGTAATAGCGAAAAAGAGGGGCTGAATGTTGGTCCTGTGGAAGTTATCATGTGGCCAATAGTTCCCAATATTTCAATGACAGTCATTAGGCTGTGCGTTAGTCTAATTTAGATTAGCTTGATTTGATTTTTTAAGTCTACTTGTCCTTGTTGTTTATATCAGTCAGTTTAATTTGACATTAACATTTAATATGACCTGATTGTTTCAGCAGATCAGCTTGATCTAGTCGATTATTTTATAGGAATCAAACTGCAGCAATCGGTAACAATGAATTTAATGGATGGAAGCCGTTTAAATGATAATCGAACAAACGATATATCTGTTGACTGTGGATCACCAATGCGTGATAATTCTTCTGAAGTCTGTCCAGTTTGTTATTTTAAATTCTAAAAATATTTTAAGCGTAAAAAATGGCGGCAAGATGTTTTTGAATTAATTTTCAAGGTTGTTGCGGTTTAAATGATCAGTTTTTTGTAAATGATTGGGGGAGAAATAGAAAATGAAAAAGACACTTATGATTATTATCAATGATATTGATTTCGCCAGACTGTTATAGGTTATAGGTTATCAATAGCCACTTGGATTTTACTTTTAATGATAGGTTTATTCTTTTAAGGGTCTTGGGAAATGGAGATTTGTAATTGTAGTACTTTAGTGTAGCACAAAAAATTCATCAGAGCTGACGATATTATTAATGAAAGGAAGTAGCAGGAATAATTATTTTTTCGCAAATTTTTCTCTTATTTTATCCTTTTGAAATTGTTTGTTGAATGCTTTTGTTTTTTCTACCTCTTCTTCTTTGCTTTTGTCCCCCATCACCTTCTTTTCCATTCGTTCTTCCTTTATTAAAAAATTGGCGGTTATATATTATTTTTCTTTTTAATGTTCTCTCTTTCCTGATTATCAGCAGTCTACATTAGAAGTGAAAGAAATTGGGAACAGTTTTTTCTAAAAATAAGGAAGATATAAAAATAATAAATAAAATAAAAATAAAAATATGTCCAAGAAAAAATATGTTCTTTGTAATAATCATTATAATCTCGTTTCTATAATTTCTGAAAATTCAATTCGACTTTATAATTAATTTTTTTAAAAAAATAATTATTTTCCAGATTTGAATTTTCGAAATTATTTTTTATCATTTATTTTTTAAAGGAATCTCGTAGACGACAAAAAACTTGTCGTGTTTGTGGTGATCACGCTACTGGTTATAATTTTAATGTTATTACATGCGAGTCATGCAAAGCATTTTTTAGACGAAATGCGCTCCGACCTAAGGTTCGATTTTGTTCGATTTTCGAAATTGAAGAGAGACAAGTTTTGCATTGGATTTTTTTTAAGGGTCCTCACCATTAGCAAATAAGCTCGTTCCGCTGGCTTTTCGCCCTGCCAGGAATTTCCTTGGCGATAGAAGTAGAGATGAGTCGTCAACATCACCCTGTTTTTTGGACAGATTCATTCCAGCGGAAAGTGGAACTTCAGCTTCGGCGCTACGAAATGAATAGCAACTCACTGAGCCATTCTATTCTCCCAGGATCGGGTTAAGGTTATTTAATGTGCGGCCATGGAATTTTTTGTGTAGCCCCTAATGAACACAACCAATTGTAGAGTCAAATTTTTGATCATCGGGGCGAAAGAATCAATTATACCACCTATCCAATACAATCTTCCTTTCAGGTCGTAATTTATCCTTCACTTTATGGTTAAAATTTAAGTAAAAGAACTTTTTTCTTGTTTTCAGGAATTTAAATGTCCATATTCAGATGATTGTGATATAAATTCAGTTAGTCGACGCTTCTGCCAAAAATGTCGTCTTCGAAAGTGTTTTGCGGTCTGTTTCATTTTATATTTAATCAAAGGAATAACTAATTTTATTTATAAGTTATAAAATTACAAAGTTTTTATTTTTAATGAAATGCATTTATACTACGGAGTGAAATATTATTTCTGGCTAAATTCAGGCTCGTTAAGTTCGCTTCTCGGAATTGGTAAATTTTATCAGGGGACCATTTGGCTGGCGGTTTAAAATGATTTTCTTACACAATAAAAGTAACAATATTTTTAGGTTGGAATGAAGAAAGAATGGATTTTAAATGAAGAACAATTGAGAAGACGAAAAAATTCGCGTTTAAATCATATGCAGTCGCGTACAATGCAGAATGGTGGAGTGAGTAGTGGAGGAGTTGGAAGTGGAACTGGTTCCACTTCCACCGCCAACAGTATTTCCTCTAATAATAAATTAAATACTTTAATTAATAATATAGCTACGCCAAACGCAACACCATGTAAGGATGTTTTTTCGGATCATTTTGCGATCATTTCTAAAGTATATCTTTTAAGTGGTAATACAGTTGGTACTTATATGCCTAATAATTTCAGCAATGCTAGCCGCGAAGCAGTTAATAAATCGACATTGCATGGACCAACCATTAGCTTCTGCGAACAATCTTCATGCGGTTCGTTTTTTATATAAATTGCTTTTTATATTAGTTTTATATCGTTGAAGTCATATATTAATTTAATGATCTTTTTAGATAATAAGTCCGCCTGGATCAAATGTATCAACTGTATTGTCACCATCGCCTGATTCTCCAACGCATAACAGCATTATTGGTTTACCTCAGTTCGATTCATCAGCTGATGTTGTTTGTTGTTTGAAATTATTCTTAATCTTAAGAATGACTAGTGAAAAAAATTTGTAAAAACCTAAGTAAACAAACCTTTGATCCCTTACGTTCGCTAATTTCCGGTGATTTGTCATTTAATTCATGTGTATAATATTTTGGACATTATAGAAAAAATTATTTTCCTAATTTAACAGCTATTTTTTAATTTTTTAAATTTAGTTTTTTCTTTTGGATATTTTAGTGATTTTAAAATTTTAAATTTTTGAGATTTTTGAATTATTTCAGTACGAATCAAATATGATGCGATTGCAACGGCAACAAGCGTTTGCATATGCTAATTTTAAACGGAATGGTGCTGGTTCATCAGCACTTAACTCTCCAACAACACCTTCCACATCAATCTTACCCATTATTAAAAATAATGAACAGTTTGCTCTGAAAAGTTTGTTTTTCCAATCACTCGAAGCAAATCATAGTGCCATTTTTTTTGCCCAATTTGATATAAAGGATCAGTGATTTTTTTTTTCAGGTGAACCACATATCACTATGTCGATTAATGAATATCAGGCATTGATAAAAGCAGCAAAAGCCGGTGGAATTCTTTTACCATTAGAAACATCATCAGCTAGCACCACGACATATCAGTCACAACAACCATCATCATCTTCTTCATCATCTTCATCGATACTACCTAATTTAGATGACGTTAAACGTAATTTATGCATTCATTTATTGATGATAATGTTGATGATAGCAAGATTGTTGTTAATTTTGCCAATATTTTTTCATTATCGAGCAAATTTACTATAAGAAAATGGGGGCAAAATATGGAGTGGTGTAAATTGCATTCTTTTAATTAGTAGAGGCAGCCAAACCAATAATGATGAGCGCTATTAAATTACGTGAGATGGAAAATACCTCAATTAATTTTAAGAAAATCGTTATGGTCATTTGGAATCATTATTTAGGCGATTATTTTTGAAAAACCCAGCTCCGCTGAAAATAATAAAATAATAAAACTTAATTTTCTATAGTAAAAAACCATGGCATGGATAATAGTGGTGTTCATTTTTTAATAGTGGTATTTTTTTAGCATTAACAGATTATACAGAATTAAGCGTTGCAACGGCTCAGCCTTCACTAAAATTAACACCTGATATGGAGAAGAAAGTTAAATATATCAGTGATATTATACATGATGAGTTAAATGTCGAGTCACCGGAAATAAGCGAACGTGAGGCATTAAAGGTTTGTTTATTTTTTTATCAGTCGTTTTTAAGGTTAAGAATAGTGATAAAATGTTAACAAACGAGTAGTAATAAATTACTATGTATAAAATAGTTTTTGTTGACTTATCCATGATTTCACTAGAAACAATTTTAATCAATATCAGATATCAGGTAATGCTTCGTTAAATAGCCGTGAATGAGTTTTTTTTTAAATAGTGATTAGTCTATGAAAAATAATTGGCTTTCTTTTGACTTATTCATTTTGCAGTATGCAATATTTCGGGAAGGCGAGCCGAAATTAAATTTTCAGTTGAACTCAGCTGAATTGCGTGCACTTGATATCGTTTGTTTTTTTTTTTTACTGGCAATTGACGGGAAATCGTTAACGGCTGTTGTTGTTGGCTGTTCCCTTTGGAACATATAATAATGGGATTGATATAAAGGTTGTAAATATATTATCATGCAAAATTTTTAGGTTCGTGATGCATTTGCATGTATGAATGAACCAATAGAAGATCCTCGTAAAGCGGCTTATCTTAAGAAAACCAATCATAATCCAACCGATATATTAAATATTATGGATATAACGATGCGAAGACTTGTTAAAATGGCGAAGAAATTACCAGCATTTAATGATCTTTCACAGGATGGCAAATTTGCTTTATTAAAAGGTTTCTTATGGCTCATATATCGTTTCCACCCCATCATGATTCTTATTTTTAATAATAGTATCTTATTTCAATAGACATAGGATTTGAGTGAATTTAGGGAGTCCACGTGTAATTTTTTCCCCCAGCTGACTTTTCGGCCATAATCCCTGGAGCTTGTCGGAAAAGGTGCATCCAGTTCGGCAAGGAACAAGAACTTTTTTTTTAAAGTTCATTCATAGTCATTTTACCCTTATTTTATCCTTTCTTCCTTTTTAAAATTTTTGAAAAAAATTTTAAGGTGGTATGGTCGAAATGTTAACAATGCGTGGTGTTACTCGATTTGATATGGATCAACAATGTTGGAAAACACCAGTTATATCCGATAATTTTCAAGTACCGTTAGAGATGTTTGATCAGTTGAAAGAAGGCTTACGTGATCAACAAAAAGATGGATTTCTTAAGTAATCTTTTTTTTATTTTTGTTATAAATATTCATCATCATTAATAATAAATGAACAGATTGCAGATTGCTGCGCTTAATTTTTTTTGGCGAGTAATAACTCAATTTTTTCATAAGAAATATTAATAAATTTCACAAATAATATTATAATAATAAATCTAATGATAATAATATAATAATAAATTTATACATATAATAATAATAAATTTAAAGATTTTGCCGTTCATTACATCCAGATGTTCGAAATAATGAATTATTAATCGATCTACTTGTGCTAATTGTTTTATTTGATGCGAATAGGGACACGATAATCGATTCAACTGATAAAATTATTATTTCGAGACACTGTCAGGAATATCAGGCATTGCTTCATCGGTAAGATTTTATTTCGTTCGGTAAGAAAAATATATTGGATATCGTAAGTTATTTCGGTTATGGTCACAAAGAATGGGCTGAATTTTTAATTCTTGGTAGGCATAAAGAAATCAGGATGGCTGTTGAGATAACAGCCATCTATTTTCTCTTCAGAATTTTTCTCTGGAGAGGTTTCTAAATTTTTAAATATAACTTCTTATATTGAATGAAAATAACCATTTCAAATGGTACTGGTACTGGAAAAAGGAATATGATGAAATTTGAAATTTGAAATTTTACCAGAAATATTTCGTTAGGAATGAAAATTACAAAATGCTTAGATAAATTACTTAATGATATTTTAGATACCTCGAATCGATGTATGGTCATGAAGCACGTGCTCGTTATGAAAATCTACCTGAATCACTACGAATTCTTCGTTTAGTAAGTCAAAATGCGGTAACTTTATTCCTCGGTCGTGTTGATCTTAACGAATCGGAAGCACTGCCTAAAGAATTCTTTAAAACCTCTGAATAATTTTTTTTGTTTTTTGATTGTATAAAACCATGTTTTTAGTTTAATACCTCAAATTTTTTAAAACTTTTAAATTAATAAAATAGTGGAATGGTTGTAGTCAGTTTTTATTAGTTTAATTTTTACTTATTCGTTTTAATAGGCTTTTTTTCTAATCCTTGGTAGGAATAAAGAAATCGGGATGGCTACTGAGAAGGCACCCATATATTATGTCTTCAAATAATTTTCCAGGGAAGAGATTTTTAAATGGAGATTGAATGGAAATAACCATGCCATATGGTACTGGTATTTCAAATGGATTTTTATCAAAATCATGGTGAAAATTGTTGTAACCCATTTGTACCTTTATGACTGGCGACTGGAAGGGCTTTATTCAATGGGTAATGGGAAGAAGGTAGTAGATTGGCTGAAATTATCATTTTAAGAGGCAAGAGCTTGGTTTCTGCTCGTAGTTATCCATTATTTAAAAAATCTGAGTGATGGTTGCTACTTGCGCTTCTATCAGCTTCTCTCAATTAATTCTCTGGCAGAAATTCCCAACCCATTTCGCTATCAAAATGATTATAATTAGAAATTCTATTAACCATTTACTTACTTAATGGCCAGCAGAGCTGGCAAGCTAGATGTGGCGTTAAAGGAAGAGGAGAGAGTGATTAAAATCAGTAAAATTCAATGCCTGAGTCAATGATTTTGTCATATTAGCCCAAATGTTATAGATCAAATTAACCAATTTTAGACATAGGTAATTTTTTCCCCTTAATATTTTCCTTGGAAAATGGGGATGAGAAAATCTTTCAGCATCAAAATATTTAATTTAATTTATCATTTTGATAGCGATTATTTAAATGGAATTGAATTAATTTTATCATTTTCTGTTTTATTCATAAAATTCCTGTGATGTCCGTTAATTATTAGGTCAGTGAGAATTTTAAAATTTTGAAGAAGTCACTCAAAAAGCGAGAAATTATAAAGCTTTTAGTGGTTTTATTATCGTTATCAATCAGTTATCCATATTGCGTATTTATTTTTATAGTTTACAATAATGGATTTGTTATGGGATATTTTTATTGTTTTTCCAAATTTCATCATTTTTTTCATATTTTTTAAATTTACAAGTAATATACTATATGGTATTCTTAATTGTTATTTTGATCTATCTCGGTGTATTTTTTTGGTTTTTAATCATAGTCATTTTTTTGTCTTTTTTGCTTGAAAGAATTGATAATTTCGGTGATATTTCTGATATGTTGTTTAATAATTTTAGTGAAATCGATATTATTGATAAGATACCGAATTAATTGTCTTTTGTTTGTTACGGGGTATTGAAGAATTTTTGAAATGCTTGAGACTGCCCAGTCTGATCTGCCTGTACATTTTTCATTCTCCATCCTCACCACAAATTTGATAAATACATGTTAGATTTTCCATATTTTGAAATCTTTTCGTTACTGGTGGTGATAAAGGAAAATCTTTATTTTCGTTTTTTTTTCTTTTAATTTCGGTGTCTGAAATTGATAATTTTTTTGGTAAGAAAAACAACCTTCTTTCATATATATTGGTTTAAGTTGTAATTTTTATAAACATACAGAGTGTTTTAACTACCTCAATTTTTTTCCCACTATTATTCGTTATCATTTTGTCTTAATTATTTTTTAATAAGAAAGAGGATTATTTTTATTATTTTGTTGAGATTAGTTCTGATTTTTATTATTATTGTTAAGATACGAGGAGATTGAGGATTTCTTTTGTTTGGAAATCTCATTTAAATTTTTTCTTTTTTTCATCGAAAAAAGATTTCTTAAAAATTATAAAATTAAAGTTTTAGAAAAAAAATTCGAAGAAAATTATCCCAGAAATTTGAAATTAAAAAAGTTTTTTTTTCTTTCAGTTTTTTTTTCAGTTCAAACGTAACCTCATAAACTAGTTCACCTCATTTTTTTGTTTTTTTTTGAACTATTTTTCGACTTTTCGGGTTCCACTATCTATTTTTTTCTTTTTTTTTGTTTAATATCATCATCATCGCCAATGAAATCAGATGTTTTTGATTTCGAAATATAAGTAACCTCACGTCGATATATGTATGTATGTATGTGTATTTATGCATAGATATATATATATAAACCTATAAAATAAATATATGTATATGTATGTGTAGATTTTTATTCGATTGGTACCTTCCTCATGGTATTTTTTTTTTCACGATTTGGCTGTGTAATTATCTTTTTTATACTGAATATTATTGTCAGTAATATTGCCAATATATACATATATATATATACACTTTCTGTTTCAAGTTCCAAGAAACCCGAACGTCATTCATTCATTCATCCTCAGCATAGTTATTTCTTTTTTTCTTGATTTATTCTATATCAGAATGGATAAAAAATTTTTTTCACAAAAAGAGCGACTGTTAAACACCAATTTTATTTGAGGTGGAATAGTTCCGTGGTGTTCACTTCGAGCTTCACCAGTGCTGGAGTTCCACTCCTGAACAAATCTGTCTTTTCAAAAATTCTGCTCATCCACATATCGCCTTCTTCCTGCAAAATTTGATAAGCTAGAGCAGCCAGAAAATAGCGCATTTCATTAAACAAGAAATTTCATATGATAAGAGGGTTTCGTAGATATCTTAGTTGATTTTTGTTAGAAAATTTTTACTACGAATATACTTTGGTATTACTGCTTCACTACAGTTTCACAACTTTTCATATTATTAACTATTATAGCGTTGGATTTTGTTGAAAATAGTTAAAAATAAAGTAGTTTCATATCAGTAAATGATAATATCATCTGAATGAAAACGAAATTCCATAAAAACGAAAGTCCACATCTATATAGCCGTGATGCGTTAGATCTTGCTACATGGTTCTGAGATATGACCAATGAGAGTGGAGGATATTAAGTTATCTGCCTTTGACCACTCTTATCTAAGGTACATATTGCAGATCCGTCGAGTGGATAAGATATCACATGATCGCATCCATCTTCGTTCAAATACCACTTGCATAAATAATGTTATCACAGAGCGCCGCCTTCGCTGGTTAGGGCACATTCTCCGTCGTCTACCACAGGAGTTGACGCATGTTTCGTTATATGCTAAACCGTGTGACGGTTGACGTCAAAAGCGAGGTGGACCAATCAAGACCTGGGCTGATACGGTGAGAAAAGATTTTGAACGTATAGATGGACCTGCAATATATGGACTTAGACGATGGAAAAAGGAATGGCTTCCATTACTGTCGACGATATGGTCAGACCGCGCCGCTTGGAAGCGTTTTACCCTTGTAGCCGTTGGAGTTATCCTAACCAGTAATGGTGAGAACTGTTAGAAGAAAAAAAAATCATCTAAATTAAAACAGGTCGAATCTTCTAGATTATGGTCATATCGAGAAGTCATCAAGTGTTTTACTAGAAAATTTTCACTTATTTCGAATTAAGCTTTTTGCTAGTATGAAACCAAGGAAATTTAAAAAATGGCAACTCACCTCCTATACTTCTATCGTAATGAAAATTTAATAGGGATGAGCAGTCGTTTATCCTTGTTGATTCTTTAGAATTATCGAATCGAATTCTACCTCATTCTAATAATCGTTATTGCCATTAAAACCAAAATTACTTAGAAGATTACTTACTAAATTTACTTAGGAATAGTTGTTTATAAAATTACTTAGGAATCGTTTATCAATTTCTGAAGAAAGAGGAAGTAAAGGAAGTAAATATAAAATAAAAGTATGGGTCGTTTATCATCAACTCTTCTCATTGAGCATTAATCATCGATTATCACCTTTCTTTTCATTGATATCATTGTCGTAATCGTGATAAAATTTTTTTTTTAATTCCAATTTTCTCTAATAATTCCGTCTTTTCTTTTATCATGAAATAATTTTAATCTTACTATTTTAAAATTTTTAATTTAAAAGCATAATACGAATTTCTGGAGCGGTTTCATCTGGTTTATAATGGGAAATATGGAATGATCTATGTGGGCATAAAAAGTTTGGTTCTGTAAATCTTGATCTAACATAAAGAGTTTAGAGTTTTGTCATTACTAATATCATCTACTGATTCCTTAATAGTCTTTGTTTTTGATTCGGGAAAAGCCTAGTTCTTTATTTTCACAAATTTACTGATTTTTCTTGCAATCTTAATTTATTTGATGCAATTAAGACTGCCATTTGGATGATGGGTATCCAGAGGCGTCAAAAAAAATGCAAGACAAATATCCACTATGTCACTGATTATCACATATCCAAGTAGACAAACAAGTGCTGCCCAATCAACCAGATATCGTGGTAATAGACCAGAATCAGAAATCAACACTCTGATTGATATAGCGATAGGAGCGTATAAAAGAAGAAATATGAGAAGTTAAAGAAATACTGAGGTTTGAAGTAGCACTTAGAGAAGATATGGTGAGTAAAGGCCAAAGTAATTTTAGGAACAATAGATACTCCGCAGAACCTCCCTTCAAATTGAGGATTATCATGACCACCCACATGCGTTGAGGAAAAGTTTTTTATATATGATAAAAAAATGATAATATGCTTATAATATGAAAGAATTTTTTAAAATCCAATTTATATTTAAAAAAATTCTAAAATTTATATTTATATTTAAAAAAATTTATATTTATATTTAAAAAAAAATTCAAAAAATTTTCAATACCCAATTTCTTAACAAAATATTTTGATAACAATTCTGATAACAATTCCATTTCATAAAGATCAATGATAAACAACACCATAAATGTAATATCGATATTGGCAGAATTAATAAAATTCAGTTAAAATGATAATAATTTTTCGAGATTTATCAGTTTCGTCAGACTTCTTTATAGCCAAACAATTATTAAATAATGTGTTTTTGAACATAGAGATTTGACGATAAAGAAAGAAGGATTGGATAATGAAAAATTTAGCTTAAGCAAAATTTAGCAAAATTTCCACGCATATGCTACTGCAATTCTTTTTACATTTCCTCAAGAAAAAAAATGATCGTAAAAT